AAAAAAAAAAAAAAGTTGTTCATTAATTGACAAATACAAGGTAGGCATCATTATAAACTTATGATTTCGATTCACAATCAAATTCGGCCATAAAATAGAGCTCATAGAATTGTACTTAAAACCAAAGTAAATCCATACTCTACACTTTTGTCCAACTCAAACTATAATTATAATAATAATAATAATTATCAAAATAATAAAACCAAAAATAATTCAAATATTTTATTATAATGCTTAAATCAAAATTATACCGTGTGGAACTGTGTTTGTCTCCCCCACCGACCCCGAGATTTTGAGGATTTAAAAAAAAAAAAAAAAAGGTAAACTTTATTATAATGTCATTTTTCTAACAAAACTGAGATGCAAATTTGTTAAAGAAACATAGATATGATGATAATAAATTCAATGCAATGAGTAACTTTGAATACTAATCATCATTGATAAAGTCATGGGCATACAAAGTTTGGGATTTCACAACTTCACGCGCATTTGGTATAAGAAGCTTTGCAAATTTCAACCTTATGCTAAAATTATAGGCTGCAAATAGATTTATAAGTTGCAATATAGCTAACAAGAGCTACTACACTCAAACTACATTAATGATATGTTGATGTTATACACCAATGGTTTCTCGAGTTTGTGCCGGCGCGGACGAAAACAAACGTATGGGACTTGAGATTTATCGAGAAAAATGTACGGACCGTATATTTTGCAACAGACGATTGGTGATGAACGTGTAAGCTAAGTAAGCTTGAAACATAAATGTCGCAACAGATAGCCTTTAATTGGCAGAGGGAAGAAATATAGGGTTTCTTGCATTTTTGTCTTCTTTCGTGTAAATGAGTCGAGCCCAGCTGAGCTCGAGCCCTTAACTCTGTTCAGTTCGTTAATTTAACGAGCTTATAATTGAGGCTTAACGAGTCAAACTATAAAAAATTATTTAAAAATACACCTTTTCGAGTCTTATCGAGTTGAGCCGAGGATCTACTGCGGAGGGTTCGACCCTTAAATTGTAGGTATTTTGGAATTAATGGTGAACAACCAATAATGTCTAATATGGAGGGTTTGGTCCCACAGGTAACTAGTGTTGTACTCGAAACAAATGAGCAGAGTTTGAGCATTTTGAGTTCGTGTTTGTTTATGTTCGAACAATTTCGTATTCATTAATTTATTTTTCGAGCAAAAAGTCGTGATCGATCTTGGTTGTTTAATTGTACATCAAAGTTCGAGTTCGTTCGCTTTCGAATAATTTAGGACATAAACTTTTTAAGTATGTTTTATTAACTCAAAATTTGTTCTCGCTCGAACTCGAAAAAAATATATTTTTATATTTTTTATTTTTATTAAAAATATCATGTAGATATATAAAAATAAATAAATGTAATGTTCACGACATTATCGAACGTTGCGAACGAGCTTGTGTTCGTTTGATTATTCAACGAGCCTAATTTTCTGTTCGAACTTGAAACGTATAATTACTTGCGAGTGCGCGAAATGTAGTACGAACGTGGATAAACAACGTAAATAGCGGAACCAATAAACCGAAGATTTTAAAACTCTTCAGGGAAGCGTCCCACTTCCCCTCAGAGC